TTAACAGATAAAACTTAGATAAAAAATTGTCATTATATTCCTAGAGAAAATATTCGACTTCATCCATTACATCAGTGACACCCACTCTGTTTTTTCTGGTATCAAGAAACCAAGAACAAGATCTTGAAGATGCAAAAAACTCAAAAGTAAAACATCATCCAAAATCCAGTGATTATAACCAAATTCATGCAATAAACAGACATAATACCTAATGTGGAAGTCGAAAATATTAAAAGATTATAGAAACGTGAGCGGCCATTTGCACATTCGAAGAAATTAAAAGCAATGTCAACCAAAATTAGCATCAATAAGATTACCACAGGGACTAGTTTATGAACTCATCCATAATATCTACATGTCTACTGATCATTGGGACGTGGGGGCATCTCTTCCAGGAATATTCTGGTTTTGGTAAGGGCTCTCGCCACCAAAATTTTGAGCATAGTTCTGGTTTTGTCCTGGACCAGATCCCATATTTGGATTATAGCTACTCTGATTTTGTCCAGGAACCGACCCCATATTTGGACCATAGCCACTCTGATTATGTCCAGGAGCGGATCCCATATTTGGACCATAGCTGCCTGGATTTTGCCCTGGACCTGACTGATGAGGCATTCCTCCAGTGTTGGGCCCATTCCTGGACTGATACTGGTAATTTGTTGTGTTGTTGGGCACTCCTCCCACATTGTTTGGGGGATAACCCATATTATTTGGCGCGCCTCCCATGTAATTTGGGGGTCCTCCCATGTTGGGCTGCTGCTGCTGCACTCCTCTCATATTAGGTGGCGCACCTCCCATGTAATTTGGTGGTCCTCCCGGGTTGTTGGGCTGCTGCTGCATCCCTCCCATATTAGGTGGCATACCTCCCATGTAATTAGGTGGTCCTCCCAAGTTGGGCTGTTGCTGCATTCCTCCCGGGTTGTTGGGCTGCTGCTGCATTCCTCCCATATTAGGTGGCATACCTCCCATGTAATTTGGAGGTCCTCCCACATTGGGCTGTTGCTGCATTCCTCCCGGGTTGTTGGGCGGCTGCTGCATTCCTCCCATATTAGGCGGCATACCTCCCGTGTAATTTGGTGGTCCTCCCACATTGGGCTGTTGCTGCATTCCTCCCGGGTTGTTGGGTTGCTGCTGCATTCCTCCCATATTAGGTGGAACACCCATGTTTGGTGGGCTTCCCATGTGACCAGCTGGACCACCCATATTGGCTCCAGAGTTCTGATTAGACATCTGCATATCTCTTCTTCTCTCAAAATTTCTCGATCTATCAAAGTTACGAGGCCTGTCATTCCGCCTATTTCTCTCATTTGCCCGAGCATTGTTTCTAACCCATTCCTCATGGTATTTAGGGTCATATGGCACAGCCTGCCCATTTATAAATGGTTCCCCTACAATGTCCATATGAAGATGCACATTTGAAGATCACCAAATATGTTAGTCGGAAGAAATCTGAAGGTGCAGAATTGCACACAGGCAGAAACGATGCATAGAACATAACACAAAGCACAAAGACCCAAATTTAACTCCAGAAAGTTTCCCGTTCACGGATGAACCAAACAAAGGTCCATCTATGAAGAGGCCTTAAGAGAGACGACAGTTATAAGAACAACATGTTAAGTAACCATATTAAATATCATGGTTTGCAATACTTCTCAAGAACAATATACAGAACCCCCAAAAAGCTAGTTTTCCAACCTTTCTGGAGGTAGGCACTGGTCAATAACATTTTCCAACAATTAAAACCAACCTTCAAGTCATTCAATTGAATCCAAAGATTACTACATATTATTCCCAAAAAACTGTGAAAAACTGTGATCGGTTAAATGAAATTTTTTTAGGCAATTTGTCATTCCATCACTACATCTATTCAAAAACTATGCAGTTGACCCATAAACCAATAAATACTAGACTAGTCTAGCAACCATTTGCCAAGAGTTTACAGAACTCAAGCATGAATACGATCCTAGGATCCAGAAACGATAACACCTATTACCCGTGTACATCATAAAATGCAACATATACGAACCCAAAAGTTCACGGTCACATGTAGAAAGTAATATGCATGTATATGTATATGTATAACCTAACCTTTAACTAACCAAAAACAAATGAATGAACAGTTGGAGAAGGAAGTTGGGCAAAAAATGGGTGATTTTAAGATAAGCTAGATATAAAGGAAATTCCCAGTACAAAGTAATAATAATAATAAGCATCCTACGTGTGTGTGAGTGAGAAAGCAGCAAAGTTTTTCACAAGCACTACAAAGAAAAATAACCACCAAACAGGCATGGAGGTTCATACCTCCATAATCCTTGTTCTTGACATCCAAGTAGGAATCAGGAAGCACCCATCTAACTCCAGGCAATTCTGCAACATAAGTCATTAATAATCAAAATAAATCTCAGAAACTCCTAACAGCCAAACATGAAAAGTTATATTACCCTTCAACTTGTAAGACAATTCCTCCCCCACAAGGGCTCCAAATGCAAAGTAATGCCGTGTGGAGACCGAATAAATTTTCATTCTTGCTTCTTCCTCACTAAAAAAGTTCAAAAGTTCACTCAACATGCCAAATATGGTAAGAACTGTTGCAATGCTAACTGAGATATATACATGTTTCCACATAATGTAAAGCTACAATCTTTAGTAAAACATAATCATGTAATGGAAAAAAACCAAAACAAAGTGTGTATCAACAAAATTTACACCAACAAATAAAAGGCGCTCTATTGATCATGCCAAATAATAACCTAATAAATGAATAATGATCAAAAGCTATAACCTTTCAAACATTTGACTAGAAACATGTCTCGTAACTTGATAGAATTCACCATAGACAGTACAGAAGCAAAATAAACCAAAAAAAGGCAATCTTGGTAGGTTCCCAACTCAGATTTATGCATCTTTAGAATAAATGAAAGATATCTTAATCACAACCCCTGCAGCAAATTGTTCAAACTTTGAATCCCTTAACTCTATTAATTCCAAGTAAATTTAATTCCATAACATAAATACAAAATCATCACTAGTATTTCCTTTCATTCCAAAATTTTCAACTTCCTATCAGTAGTAAAACATACTCTACATTAATCAAACTTAGTATAACATGAACGATATTTTATCATCAAGGTGTATATCTTAAATCCGCTTTGCACAAAATAACAAAACTACATGCATAAAAATGTGAGCATAAAGCCAATCATCAAACCTTCCAACGACTTTGGCTAGGGTTTTGATGTAACTGTCAATGATTTCATCTCGGGTGGGTTCACCCTCGGGCTTTTCCATGACAACGAGCCAATGCTCAAAGTCACACCCATCGAGCAGAATCGTCTCCTTCGGGGGTCGGTTCGACCAGTTCGGATTCGGATCACTAAGTGAAGACGATGTAGGGCGGGTCGCGAACCCCCTTGTGGAGAACGCCGGGGCCAGGCCGTGGAAATGGGAAGCGGATGCCGCGACAAAGAGAGGCCGGAGACGGCGGACAAAAGAGGAGTGTGGTGATGAGGCAGCAGCTGAGACTATGGCATAGGAACGGTAGATGCTGGCACTTAGGGTTTGCCTGGCTGTGGTGAGTAGAGACTGATTCAGATACCGAGTTGCCATTTTAGAGTTCGATAAACCCCAACAATAAAGTCGGATTGAGCCAATGTCTAGGGTTTAAGGTTCTGTATGTTACACATATATAGTGGCTAGGAATTTCCAAAATGCCCCTGTAATTGTGGAAAATTGCATAATATTTCTTCATTCCTTCTCGGGTTGTAGTTTCGGTTTGGGTCCAATCCGAATAAATGTCGGTTTTGATAGCCCATTAGCGCATATATTCCAATGAAATTTTCATAAGTAAGATTTTAAGTATCACACCTTTCAAAATTAAGAAAACAAGTAAACTTTAAAAATCAGATTTTTATTAAAATTTATTTATGATTTAATTAATTATTTTATTAATTAAATATATTTAGGTCACATGTCTGTACAATTTGGTCACAAATTAACGATTTAGTTAGTCACATCTTATTTTTTGGTCACAGATTAAAAATTTTATGATCACAATTCAAAAATTTTATAGATAGTAGTTTGTTCATCGATCACAAATCAAAAAATTTATAAGCCGTTATTTATTTATTGGTCATAAATCACGAATACTATAAGTCACAACTTCTTAAACAGTAACAAATTATCAGTCACAGATTAAAAGAAAATTAGGTCACGCATTTTTCTTGGTCACAGTTTATATTTTTTATTAGTCACATATTGTTTATTGGTCACAAATTAACCAATTTAATGGTCACAGTTAACCAAATAATTTGTAACCATCACCCAACACTTGTGGTACCATCTCACCACTATTTCCAACACCACCACCATCGTCGTTGCCAGAACCACCACCACCGTCGCACCCACGGTACCACAACCCAATCACCACACTTAGGGATGGCAACGGTTCGGTTCGGCCAAAACCATCACTGAACCGTCAATTTTTTTGCCATACTATAATCGCACCATAACCACGTAAATCGGTTCGATTCGGTTCGATTAATGACCACGAAAATAAATTATTTTTTATATGTCCATCCGTCAAATTGATATAAAATAATTTATGAAAAGAAAGTCAATGAAAACAAAAACAAAATATTCCAAACAAAAATACAAACATTATCCCAAATTTCAATTGCAAAATACGAATTTAACAAATAATATTATGAATATAACAATACTAAACATTTCCTTCATTCTTGATTCTTGTGCATTATAGTTACTTGATTCAGACTCAATAATTCAAAAGTTTCAACCTTAACTCATATTCAATCTTCATTCTTTCCCACACCTCTTACTAGCATAGGTCAACACTCAAAATTGATTCCTATATAGTAAATAAGAAATATAAGTAGAGAATATAATGATACTACCTAATCCAAAATGATTTTAACTAAGATTTAAATAAAAAATGTACCTCTTCATCAACTTCCTTCTCACTAAACATTGTCATCCCTAATAAAATAATGATTTTTTTTATGCGGGTAATCGGTTCGATTTCCATTCGACAGCGTAAATACCATACCTGCACCGCCACAAACTGGTTCATTAAAATCAAATACCATATCCGCCCCATTGCACCATTAGTTCAGTTTTTTTCACTCCATTCGGTTTGATTAACTGCGATTTTTGATTTTAACGGTTCAAATTGTCATCTCTAACCACACTACCCTTGCACCCACAATACCAAAATTGCACCCAAAGCAACACAATTGCACACATACCGCCATAGTCGCCACCACCATCCCTCGACAACACCACCACGATGGTCACAATTATGGATCAGGACTATTGCAACCGTGTCGCCAACACCACCACCAACACAACCGCACCCCACAACAAACACAACCGCGCACACAATGCCACAGTCACCAAACCACCATCCTTCGACAACAACGCCACAGTCACCAAAACCACAACCACCACCATCTCTCGACAACAGCACCACGATGGTCACAACCACAAATCGATACCCTAATTTCTCCAAGGCTGCATTGCCTCGACTGAGAAGACGCATCGCCTGGAACATGGAGAAAGCACCACAATCTCACAATTGGACTATTGCAACCTCATCACCAACACCCACACCGCCAATGCCCAAAGTTAATTTTCCCAAGGCGTTGTCGTAACAGGAGCACCGGTACCTGCTGCGAATGATGTGGGTCGCACTGTTCTTCACGGAACCTAATAGTGCCGCCAACCACGCACACACACCTTCGACATGTGTCTTGCCGGAGAAAAGTAGGATTTGCAATGAGTGTGGTTCGTCGGTCTAATCTGCAGTGGCGGTGTGGAGAAGGGGGAGATGAGAGAGTGAAGAGAAAGATGGGTTTTGGAAATGAGGAGGGATGATTTGGGGATTAATTAATTTTTATTCATATTAACTATTTAATAAAAATTTCTGATTTTTGAAATAGCAAACTCCCCATATGATTTATGAAATAGAATCTTTAAAGGCATTAGTTTCTGTAAGTTCCACTATATTCCAAATGCTGACCAGTAACGTTTTCTGAGATTTTCTTGAATTTTTAATTGCTAACCAAAGAAAATGAATTCCTAAATGTACAATGACTAATGAAATGTGAAACTTTCGATTTTTCAATTTTTTTGAAAATTACTTTTAACCTTTATCATTTAGATAACTATCATAAACAACCAAGTAAAAATCGAAGCAACTATTACTTCCAGCTAAAATGGCGGAAAGAACATTAATCCCTGTTTGGCCCCATTTTTTAAAACTCATTTTCTAAAACTCATTTTCTGCCACAATTTTATAGAATCCACTACTTTTCAAGCGTAAATTTCGTGAACCTCTATCAAAATCTACACAAATCTAATTTCGAGCCAAACTAAATATGGCTTAATGAGAGTCTAAGTTCCGAACCTACTTCTATACACCCTTTGTCCTTCTATTACAATCATGCACTACATCTGCCAAAGCCAAATGAAGTCCACAGCAGAGCCTTCCCCACTATTTTTGTTTAAAAAGTACAAAAGATCTTCAGAATAATACACCAGCCAGCGGCGAAAAGTGCTACAACCAACCACCAGGAACACCGCTAAATACTAGAACTGTAACTCAGAGGATGACGCCGGTGCAACATCCTTTGCATCCATCTCCTGCGCGGTTCAGGGGGCAAACAAATAAAACATTCTCTTTGACATTCATCTTGCAAAATCTCAAAAGCATCTAAGTACATTTCGCTCGACTGTGGGATATCCACCATTTCATTCAAACACTTGAGAGCAGCAGCTATCGAGTAATCCGGAGCACAAACAGGCGCCGCTGTAAGGGATCCCGTTGGAATCCTTACATTTGTAAACTCAGCAAGTTTCGCTAGACAAGCCCTTAACTCATTCATCAATGGCTCGACTTTAGGATGAGGTTTTACGGCAGATTGCTGAGGAAGTTTTCCATTTGAAGGCGTCTGTTTTTGAACTCCATTGTCATCTTGTATTTCATTACCTGCCTGATGTTCAAGATTAGTTAACCCCTCTGGTAGTAGTTCAACCTCAACATCAGCGGATTGTTGGGCGGGACCTGGATTATATTTCCACGGGACAGAAAACCCGTTTGTTCTTGGATAATTTAACGGCGCTGGTGACTTATACTTCTCTTGTTTAAAAAAAGGACAAATCCCACCACTTACATGACGAAGTAAATGGGTAGTCCCACTTTTGCCTGCACAAGTAAACAGCTTCTGGCAATGATTGCATTGACATTTATCACATGTTCCGTCCTCCTTTATGAGCTTTGTGAAATGTTCCCAAACTTTAGATCTTAACTTCCCTTCCCTTTTGCGTTTCTCGCCACTGCTTGCTTCTGATTGATAGTACGCCTCCACATCAATTTCCTTACCTACATCTGCCATCTAACTAAAAAGAATGATTATAAATTGTCACTTTCGATGTCAAAATGAATGTTGTTTCAAGTGTCAAATATCAGCGTTATCACGTATGTAAAGTATTAATCAACAATGACAGAATGCAGTGTCACCGTCAGTGTTATAAAGGCTAAATTGTGTAGCAAAGTGTTTTACCTCTTTGGGGCGAGATGTAGGCCTCGAGACAAACCAATAGAATAATTCAAAAGAATAAAAATACAAAAATAATCTCATGATAAAATTTTAACCATCTTGAAATTCCATAATAACCAAATGAACAAACTAAAACTCTAACTTGCACACAAATATAAAATTTATGAATAAAGTAGCAATTTCAAAGTTCTCAAATTAGTAAATACATAAAAAAATTATAATCTACTAATTATACTAATACAATCTTAGGATTTGTCTAGAGAACCATCATTATAATGTTTATTATTCTCTCTCATTGTTCTCTAGTCGCAAAGTTGCCTTCTCCTTCTCCTTCCCTTTCCCTTTCACATGAAGGGGAAAAAAATCATAAAACGTTCCAAGTTACATAAAATAGCCCAAAAGCCGAGGAACATAATATATTATTCAGAAAACCCAATACAAACGAGACACCTAAACCTCATAAAATTGAGGCATAAGACTTCACAGATGGAACTAAAGGCATAAGCTTCAAGGCATTTAGCGTCTGTTCGATCCCCATTTTAATGAGATTTGTCCAAATTTTTTTAGCTGCAACCGCGGGACCCCCTTGTCATTCACTGCCGATTTATGTCAATTTTAAGAAAAGAGTGTTGACTCTACAAGGTTGATGGCAGTAATTATTTTCCAACTTGCAAATTACCATTCAATTCATTGTATTGCCATTTACCATAAGGTAATAATTGAGAGGGTCATTTTGTTAAATGGAAGATGAGGAATTGGGGTATTTTGCACCATCTCACCATCTCCTTTTCAACAGCTTTTTTTTCCATTCTAAATGCAATGACATATGAACAGGGAAATTTCATTTTTAAAGTTAGGAGTCTAGTGTTGTAAAATGCAAATCTCGTTGAAATTTGATTTTAATGAGTTCCAAACAGGGGCTTAGTTTGGTAGAGCTTTTGCTTTTTGTTAAGAGCTTTCTAAAGAAGTTATCTTAGACCAATTTTCTCTAAACACTCTTCTAGTCAAACAAAGCACTTCTAGAAAATTATTTCGAACTAGTTTCTTAGTCACAAAAACACATTTTGACCTTTTCAAGGCCCTACCAAATGGGCCCTTAACAGAAGTGTAAGCCTCGAGAAGCTTAGTAAGACCCTGTTTGGTGGCCATTTTCTTTGGAAAAGCATTGTTTTGAATATTAAATTCTTGGAGAATGCGTGATTAGAAAGTAGGAAAAAGTTTAGAATCTACGTGTAAAATATTTTCTTTTATGTGAATGTGTTGTTGAAAATGAGTTACATAAAAAAAAAAAAAAAAAGTTTTTGAAAGAATGGGAGACAAACAGGGGCTAAGAATGTTCATCTGTGCGGAAGTTTCAAAAAAGAGTGTTTTCGGAATTGAAAAATTGTCTAAGGGATTATACTCCATTACCAGTCATTTTTCACTACAGATTTTCAGATCCCAGCATATATCCTTATGTAGCAACAAAAATTTCTGAAATTGTATGATACACTTAACAACATCAGTCTGTAAATTTTATTTTTCTTCAGCTCATTATAACAAAATCAAACCACTAAAAAGAAACTTGCCTAAATTGTATAATTCACCAACAAAAAAGAGTAAAGAATCCAATCTAGCATTTATCTCGCTTATTTCAAGAACAAACGCATTCAAAAACAAAATGAAGAAAGTTAACCTAACTAAACAACATCAATGGCAGCTTTTCCTTTGGTTCTTCTACTAGTAATTCAGTTTATTTTTTTCTGAAAAGTAGTATAGGCTTAGTAATTGGGTATTTATATATACATACAATGCATGCATATGATGATGAGCTAAATTAAATTGGAAGTAGAACAGAGGAGTACTCGCCTTTCCATCAATGGCCGGCGACGGGAAGCGAAATCTGGAAAATGTAAATCAAATTTCAGCACAGAGAAGCCCTAGGAGAAAATGGCTGGAGTTCGGTGCTATGAAAACAGGCCGGGCCCAGGTGAGCCGAGGTTGGGTTGTGCGAAGGTCATTATGGGCCTCGTTAAAACTTCGGGCTTGAATTTTCTGATATAAACAGCCCGGCCCGACCCAATTTACTCCCCCCTCTTCTGCCCTTTTTGTCCTCCCATGTTTTAAGATGGCAGCTTTTTAGAAAAATTTATTTATTTATTTATTTATTCCTAATCTGTATTTATTTACTTCGTAAGTAAACTTGCATCAAGTTAAGTGCTTGTTTGATAAAAATTTAAGTCAATTGAAATTACTTTTTTAACAGTTATTTCACTATTTCAGTCGTTATTTTTTGAATTTTTATCTCGCACGTTGGATCCACTTTATCTTTAATGACCAAAAAATCAATTAAGTTAATCTCTACCAATAAGCACTAAATTTTTAGGTTTTTGAGCTTAGCCAAACTAGTTGTTTATCTTGAAATCTGACAAGATTGAGGGTGTGTTTGATCCCTTTAATTTTGAAAAATGTATTATGGAATAATAGATTGATGAAAAATATGTGGTTAAAAAAAAGAAAAAAATTATTTACATGTAATATTATTTTAATGAAAAATGTGTAATTGAAAATGAATGCTGTAGAAAAAATAATTTGGTAGAATATAAAATAATGTATGACAAAAAAGGGCTAAGATGCCAACAAATCATTGCCATCTCATTGTTGAAGTAGTTTTTCCACGAAATACCTTCAAAATAAGTAATTTTGTTATTTCATATTTGGCCAAGATGAAAAGGTTTACTTATAAGTAAACAAAATATATTTTAAAATATTAATACTATCGACTAAAATCAAAATTAAGTAAATTGGGTTTCAAGAAAAGAAAATAGGTAAATTATTCATTTATTTGAAAAAGGTAAATTGACTCATAAATTATTAAAAATTTATCCATGTTACCAAGCACCTGTTTGAGCTCCAATATAATTAACTTTTCAAAATAAAAAAGTATTTGTAATAGTAATTTTTTGAAGAATGTGTACTTATAAAAGGAATAAAAATTTTGATTTACGTATCATATTATTTTATTGAAGAATGTGTGGTAAAAAATGAGAAATATATTTTGAAACTAATGAAACTCAAACCAGGACTCAGTAAGAGAACAAAAAAATTAATTAAAAGTTGCTTTTGTATTTTTATCTTAAAAATGAAAAAAAAAATTTACAGGAATATACTCAAAATCATTCACTTTTATTTATTTAGCCCTTGTTTGATTTTCATTATTTCAAAAATACATTTTCTTCCCTCTTCTTTTCAATAAATTAATATTATATATAAATTCAAAATTTTAGTTATTTTTTAACTACACATTCGATTAGGGATGGCAATGGGTCGAGCCGGCTCAGCATGCCCCTTTTACCCACGAGCTTAGTTCATTACTTGAAGGGCGAGCTTGATTTTTTTTAAATGCAGAAAAATGATAAAACAATTCAAATCTATGTTTTTTTTTTACAAAAAATAAATAAACCAAACAAAAAGATTTGATTAAAATGATGTTTTATCTTTTTTCTTTTTAAAATAAATGAAATATAAACTCTCCTTCTTTATCCGAGTTTGGGACCGGTTATTTAAATTTTGAGTAGGTGAATTTAAAAATTATACACGAACAACTTGTAACGTGTAAAACTTTTTAAAGAAAATTAAAAACAGTATTACAAAATAACAAATTGTGATTAAATTGGTGTAATTAAATATCAATTACTTGACGATATACAATTTCGTCATATTTATCTTGTAATCGAAAATGAGCGTTCTGTTAATCTTTTATACAGATTAATGCTTCCAAAATATCTTCTTTCAACCAGCTCATGACCTCGGACAAAACTCTCTTGCCTACATTAAAAGCAGACCACGAAGTTACAATACTAATCGAAGGTGTCAGTAAATTTTTTGCAATTGCGAAAATTACTGGTCATCGTCGTTTGTACCTGCGTCAGGATTCAATAACATCTTCGAAACTTTTTTTAAATTGTTTTATTGATAGGCATATTGTGATTAAAGTAATCAATTAATTCAGCAGACAATGTATTTGCACTTCCCTCCAATGTTTGGTTAGATGCAGGTGCAGTAGACAAAGTATTACTAGATGAACATGAACTTACTATATTTTCATCACATATATACGTGTTAATGTCTTGAAATAAATTGAATATTTCAGTATCATCTTCTTCAACTTCAGCGGAATGAGTAGGCGCAGAGAATACTCGACTAATATTGGTACCCATTTGTTCAGCATATAATTCATACATTTCACATAAATTTTGTTCTAAGTTTTTACACGTGATAGGTGTACTAAAAGTTAAAACTCTTGAAATTTGATCAATTACATATTTAGTTCTTGATAAATTACATCAGAGGTCCATGATAAAGGAAATAACATAGATAAATCTTTCCAATTTTTTTTAAACTTTAGATCCATAGAGTATATAATTATACTAAAATCAAAGTCATTTTTGTATTTATGAAATGTCCTTGTAACTATATAAAGATGTTCGAGCACGATACAGTTAGTAGGATAGTAAACTCCAAATAAAATATTTGTACTATCATAAAAACTTGTTAAAATTTTAAAGTTAAAAGTCAATCGGATTCATTTAGAATAGTGTCGTCATCGTTTTCTAATATGCTTTCGTTGTAAAACTCAAGTTATTAAATGTTCAAAACCTTCGCATAACTTTAATAATAAATAAGTGGAGTTCTAACTATGACCTACGTCACTAACGAATATTTTAGCATTCGTCGCCCAAAATTTGGTAAAAAATTCCTCAAATTCTATATATATATATTCCCTGTATTTCATCTTTAATATATTTCAAACAATTTTGCTCAATTAAATTTAAAATATGACACATACAACGAATATGGAACAAATAACAACCGAAATTAGGCTGCAATACCCTACACAATATATCGACAACTAATTTATTAACACTAGCATTTTCGAATGTAGAAGAATGAATTTTACTTTCGCAACGATATTATTTTATAATAGCCATAATCACATTATATCTATTGTTAGCATTATGTGGAATTTCAATGATTTTAAAAGCAATAATTTTTTTATATATACACCAAAGTCGATGTAGTGTGCATTTGCATCTATATAAGCTCCTTTATTAATCTCCTTCCATATATCCGAAGTTAAAGATATAGCACCACTATATATTTGAAAATTCAAAATTAATTGTTGTTTTGTTTGCAGAAAGTATTCAATTATATTTTAACGAAGAGTGCTTCGACTTATCTTAATGTACCTCGGTTGAAAGTATTATTTTACGTATGAAACAAAATGTTGGTTATCCGCTATTACAAGAGGCAGCTCAGCACCAACAATAAGTTTTACCATTCATGTTCGAGCATTCTCCTCTGAATACATCCACGTGGTGAGGGGCGAAGTTGTAGTACCAACGCCCAAACTACCAAATTGAAGTTGTGTTTGACCAGCTTGAAGAAATCCATGTGTTCACCGCACACGCTTTATAGTGATGGTCGAGGTGAGTGGTATCAATGCCTTTTTGTTAATCGTTGTTGGCAGTATTTACATACTGCTTTGGACACTGGGACTCTCGACAACACGGTCCATTGAAATCAATTTGATGTGATCCCAATATTTTGCCTATTTTTTCCCGTTCACTTCCATCTAGCATCGAGAATGTTTAATTCGGGTTCCTCCTCTTACTCCTCTTCGGTTTCGGGAACATCGACGTCATCCAAATCAATTAAATTATTGCTAGGCTCCACACCCAAATGTGGAATATCTTCAGGAATTTGTACTTCATTTAGATCGAAAAATTGATTTTGATATTGATTTTGCAGTATTACAGGTGATTCGCCTCCGAAACTGAACAAGGCATCGACAAATGAGTGTGGATCTATTTCAATTTGTGAATTATGATGATACAATGTAGATTAATATATGATATAGGGACATGATTGAATTGTAAAGACCAGAATATTTTTTGCCTTCTTTAAAGAATTACTCTGATCATCCATTAGACTTTTCTCCAAGTAAAGACCAAAATATTTTTTGCCAACACTGTGAGTGTATACAAAGAAATTACAAAGTTATTAATGAAACCAATCAGAACCTTTCACTAGAAAGAACCCAACTCCAAAAGAATGTGGCCCAACTAGAAAAAGAGATTTTGGATCTAAAAGTTTATTATCCAACAGGTACTATGGAGCCCAAGAAGTCCATAGCTAGTCCAGCCCAAACGGTAGCTGGTAAAGACTCATCAAATCCGTTGAAGGTTGTGGACTTACCAAAAGTTCAACAGACTCAGAGGACTGTTGATTCCTCTACTAAAAAAGATAATCAGACTCAACAGACTGATAAATCTGCTACAGAAAAAGGTAAAGAGATTTGGAATCTTTTAGGACAGCCCAGCGGAAAATTTGATTATTTAGTTAAATATAGTCCGCAAGAACATTTTTCACCAGAACACTTTTCAAATAATCCAAATTTTTCACAAGCCCAAGAAATTCAGCCCAGTTAGGGAAAAGAAAAAATGGTGGCCCAAGATAGTCAAAACTGTTTATTTCTTCAAGAATCACACGACCCTAATCCAGATACTGTTTCTTTAGAAAAGATTTTTGAAAAAATTGAAGAATTTCAGAAGCAATTCAAAAAAGACGAAGGAACTTCTTCCAGAAAAAAGAAATAGATTAAGAAGAAGAAAAATGATGAAGGATTAAAAGAACAAATTAGAAAAGCAGTAAATCAAGCATTTGAGACAATTCTAAAAAAGAATCATGGAGAAGAGAAAGAAATTGCAGAATACCCAGATCAAAAAGAAAAAGATGAAGCTAGTAATTCCAGACTTTCAGATGAAGACGAAGATCCACAGAATGAAGGACACAATAATTCAGACAGTGGAATGTCATTTTCATCAGTGGCACGCCACAATCTTGATACGTGATAAAGATCCTCAATAATGCATAACAAGACAAATCTGAAAGAAGAAAAGAAGAAAAAATAGAAGGC